CAGACACTGCTGGCCGTCTGAGTCCAAGGCACCACAGTGACTGCTACCTGACTCGCCCTGCATCTCTGGCTACCTCACTCCTGCCTCTAGGAAACCTCTCGCTGTGTCCAGCTCATTCTTCAGAATATGAGTAGTGTGTCGTCCTTCCAGGAAGGATCCCGTGCCCCTCCTTGGGCACCCGGCTCCTACTGCCCCCACTTAGAAGTGCTGACCAATACATCTTGTAATTGCCCACTTCATGTCCCCCAACCTGGACACCCATGATCGCAGGGGCTGTCTCCCTCAGCATGGACTTCCCCATCCAGAGCACCATGCCTGGACCAGGATGGGTGGGCTCAGGCAGAAGCCCTCCTGGCAGAAGGTGGTGTCCAGCCCTCCCTGGAAGCAGTATGGCTTCACCTGAGGAAGCCAGGAATGTCCTTTGGGGCTTGCTTATCCCAAAGGGAGGAGGCAGAGGAGAACCCCCAGCCGGGTGTGTCCTCAGATGGGCCTTGGACACCGGTGGTCATGTGTCTGGGAGAACTGCAGCCATCTAACAGGTATTCAGGTCTCCTCCTCAGCTCTGCCGGCTGCCTCAGGGACCTTGGATGTGTTCTGGGTATCCCAAAACCCCAATTCTGAGAGAGGATGCTACCTGGTGGCTGGGAGTGGTGGAGAGACACAATTGATGGGTTCCCAATGACTACAACAATGATGCCAGTGCTAACTGTCAGAGCCAGGGCTCTTTTGCATACTTCAGTCATCTCTTTTAACCCTATGAGACTCTATAATTACTTCCATCTTACAGATGGGGAAACTGAGGAACAGAACGGTCACTTGACTTGCCAGGGTCACAGTCAGGGAACAGCAGACGCAGATCTGGGCTGTGGGACAACGTGAAAGCTGGGTGGTTTCTAGGGTAATGCTTAGGTTCATGGAAGCCAGGAGCAGAAATTTCACAGGCCTTTTCTTCCCTCCTTCTTCCCCACCTCCAACACACACACACACACACACACACACACTCCAGCCCCACGTACAGAGTCTCACACATAGCAGTCACTCGTAAAACACTAGTTCCCTTCATACTCAGAACCATCTCAAATGTGAGCCAAGTTTATTTCTGAGGTATTCTGTTTGCTTGTCCCAAGGAGCTTCAGTGGCCAACAGACACAGTCCCAATGCTCATACGGCCTGCAGTCTGCACCCACTGGCCAGGGTCCTGACCATCCCCTTGTCCTGCCCCACCCCCTGCCCCAGGCTGTAACGAAGCTGAGAGCAGTGCCTCTTCCCTTACCAGACGTCCACACTCATCCTTATAGGAACTCTGGGACCAGCAGCCTTAGCATCACTCCTCTAACACTCCCAGGGACAACTGGGTGGCCAGAATCACAGCTCAAGTCCTCAGTGCTTGGCCAGCAGGGAACAAGTGTGGATGTGCCCCTGTTCCACAGCCATCCCAAGGGGAACATGGTTCCTGCCCTGCCTACCTCAGGAACCTGAGGCTCAGAGGACAGAGCTTTGGTCCTATGCCTAACACTCGGCAGCCAGAAGACAGGTCTGTAGAATGAAGGACTAAAAACCCACCTGTGGGTGGCCACTGCCAGCAACTCCCTGTAACAAGCCACGCCTAGCCTCAGCTGCAGTGGCAATAGCTGATGCCTTTGTGTCCTGGGCTAGCTCTGGGCTGGAAGCTGGCCCCTTCCCCTACCCCTAAGACATCCCAGGCACTCTCTCTAGGAGGCTGGGCAGAGGAGAGGTGAAATGGGGAGGGCCCTCCTGCTGCAGGGCATGGCCTCTGCAGCCCCCAACATACCATGGATAGTGGGAACAGGCAGGACTGAGGCCAAAGCACAGCCCTACACCCTCCAGCCCATTCTGACTGCTGGCAGCTTGGGAATGGTCCCCAGCCCCCTTAGAACCCTCACCATTGCCATCTGGCCCAGGGACTTGACCCAGGCTAGCAGACACCAGACCTATGCACTTGACACCCTGCTGCTCTCTTTCCCAGACCCCGGGGCCCTGATGGGAGGATTCACAGGTCTCTCAGCAGAGTGCTCAGTATGAGGCTAACTTTTACTTCAGGGACAGCACCAGGCCCAGAACAGGGGTAACAACCCCCAGCCCAGATTTGTCATCATGGAGGGCAGAGGCAGAAGAGATAGCCCAGAGAAGACAGCAGGGATTTCACTCCTTACAAGACCCTGGCTTCTCTCCCTTGACATCTAAAGCCCGGGGGAGCTCTGCCCACTTTCAGCAGCCCTTCAAGCAGCACCTCTGCCTGAGCTGAAATGGGGGGGACATGATGGCACAAAAAGTGTGGGACTGTAGCTAAAAAAAAAGTACCTGCCCTGGACGGTTTGGCTCAGCGATAGAGTGTTGGCCTACAGACCAGAGTCACAGGTTCGATTCTGGTCAAGGGTGTGTACTTTGGTTGCGGTTTGGTCCCGGCCCTGGTCGGGGTCATGGGGGAGGCAACTGGTCAATGTGACCCTCTCACCGATGTTTCTCTCTCCCTTTCTCTCCCTCCTATTCTATCTTAAGATAAATAGAAAATATCCTTAGGTGAGGATTAAAAAAAAAAAAAAGAAAAAGTACCAATGTCCTGGCCTGTGACGCTCAGTTGGTTAGGGGTCTTCCCATGCACCAAGAGGTCCCAGTTCAATTCCCAGTCAGGGCACATTCCTGGGTTGTGGGTTCAATCCCCGGTAGGGGGCGCCCAAGCACCAGCACTCTCCTAGCCAGTTATGCTTCACATAGATGTTTCTCTCTCCCCACCTCTCCCTTTCTCTCTTGAAAAATCAATAAACTATTCTTTAAAAAAAACAGTACCAAATGCCTGATTTCTGGGATGCACAGTGGAGATGGGTTGGGAGACGGAGCCCTGCCCCTCCACCCTCTGCACTCCTTTAACTCCAGGCCAGTACTTCACCCCTATTCTCACCTAGAGAGGGGAGAGAGTTAGGGCAGCAAGACAGAGGTGGAGACAGGGCCCCCTCTAGTGCTGAGGGCCCATCCCCATCTCCTTGAAGGGAGACGACCCTGCAGCCCCTTATTTGGGGGCCCTAAAGACCCAGAGGAGGAGCTGACCCAGTGTCTTTGCTGGACCCCCACCCTCCATGTCTCACTCCAACACTGTTCCTCACCCCTCCAAGAAGTCTCCTGGGTACACATCTGGCTGGTTCTGGCTGTAAGCTCCTAGGGGGTAGGTGTGGGAGTTCTCTAGGCCCAGGAGAAAAGGGTAGTGGGACCTCCTAAAAGTAACTGGGTCCCAGGAAGGGGCCATAAAGGCACAGCCCTGTGGCCAGAGGGATCCCAAGTTGGCAGCCCCAGTAGAGCATGGCAGCACCCTCAATGAGGGGGACACGTAGGGCAGAGCAGAAGACTAAGTTCTAGATCCAATCCTGTGCCTTAGTCTTGCCACCTGTACCATCTGTGTAACTGGTGGGGTGAGAGGCTTTTCTCAGGGGCCTTTCCTGCTCAGACAGGGCACCCTAGTGGCACTGCCCTTACTTCAATCTCTTGCCCAGGCTTAGAGAGCTAGTGCCAGCCCATAATACTCACACCTGGCTCAGCACAAACAGCCATGGCCAGAGGCATCAGGTCTCCTTCCCAGAGTGGATCTGAGGGTGACAGTCCTGCCCTGCCACCACCCAGCTCCCTTGCCCAGGGCAAGCGGGTAGTGGCTGCCAGTGCCAGAAGGGCACGTCAGCGGCTCCTCCCAACCCTCCTCTTTCTACTCCTGCTCCTCCAGCACCCAGCACACACCTGCTTTTCTAGTTCTGTCATCCCTAAGCCCCAACATCAGTTCTCTTACCTGGGAAAGAAAATGGGCACAGAGGGTGTGCTCCCCAGGGGGATGAGGAACATCTGGCCTGGCTGAGGTCTGCAGGGAAGTACGGAGAGTGCCTCCCAGCCTAGACCCTTCTCACTGGTAGGGGTGTGGGAAAGGAAACTCCATGTCCTCAAGATGAATAAGGAAGCCCCAACCTCCAGTCTGGGCCCTGAGACCCCACCATCTCCCCAGGCTCTAACCCACCCACTGTGTCTGCCCACCCCTAACCCTTAGCAAATCTCAGCTTCTTGGACTCCTCTCAGGCCCTGGACTCTGCTTAGTACTGCTGCAACCAGGGGCTGGGAGCCCAGGCTAGGACACCTGAAAAGCAGTCCCCCTACTCTGGCCCCATGTGCGCACTCCACCGCGAAGGCTGGGACCCCAGGGTCGCGGTGCAGCCCCAGATTCCCGCCGCCAGGATCCGGCTTCTATCGCTGCTTTTGCAACCAGGTTAGGTAAAGGCCGAGAAGCGCGCTAGTGCCATCCCGGAATCCAGCGCGGGCGGGCCGGGGTGAATCATTAACCGGCCCCAGGCTGGCGCTCTGGTCACACCGACATAACTGCGGACATAACTGCGAACGCCACGCACTTGCAAGCCCAGCCCTCGCCCCCTAACCTGGGGGCGGGTCACAGCTCCCACTCCAACACACACAGATGGACTGAAGGATAGACCACCACAACCTAGCTCCCTGGAAGGCCAAGTCTTCTGAAAATCACCGTCTGAGGGACCTCGGACCCCTCCTCGTAACCGAGGAAACTGAAGTCAGGGTTCGAAGGCCCAAGGTCACCCAAAAGGCGGCGGCCGGCAGGGGGAGAGCGGGCCTCCCGCCAGCAACTTTCCCGGATCCAGGAACTTTCCTGCCGGCCAGCAGCCCCTGAGTCCGGGCCAGGGCCCCTTCCAACCACCCCCGGGGCGCGCAGTCTCTGGGATCCTCCGTATTCCCTGCCTCTGGGTGATCGGACCAGGACCCGAGGCGGGTCCAGGACCTCGGACCCCAGACCGGTTGCGCTCCTACGGAGGCTCCAGAGGCCGCAGGACCTGCAAATCGGGCAGGAAATGCCACTCGCTTCACTCTTTCCCATCTGGGCCTGCCCGGGGTGCAGGCAGGGCAGTCTCCTCCAAGCTGGTACGCGGACCCCCGCCTGACGCTCCCGGGTTCGCGTTCCCCACCCCGGCCGCCGCACTCACCAGGTAATTCATCGTGTCCCGCAGGCCGACCTGGGGCCCTGGCTCCCGTGGGGGCACACACCGAGCTGCCCACACCCCACACTCTCCGGACTCCAAGCGCGCCGCAGCCGCCTGGCTCCAGGTCCTGCTGCCTCGGCCACCACGCCTGCCGCCGCCCAGAGCTGGGGGTCCCACCTCACTACACACGCTCCACCCGCTGCCGGCCAGCCCAGCCCAGCTCCCGGCATGCCCGGCCGGCCGTGCGCGCCCATTGGCCACTGTGGCTCCCCATGCAAATGAATCGCCAGCCCATAGGGAGCGTAGCACCGGCACACACCGCCCAGGGAACCACCCCCCACCCCCTACCAGCATCACGCTCTAAGAGCCTGCCAAATGCCAGGCTTCAAGCATAGTATGTGGGATATCTCCTTTTCTCCAAATGCACATCCCCAACCTCTACCAACGGAGAGAATGCACCCCTCCTCAAAGGCCTAAGCAAACGCCTCCTCTTCTGGGCAGACTGCCGGGATTGCCCCCTACCCGATACGCCGCTGCTGTAGCTCTTGAGATTCCAGCCTCAAGTTGACTTATGCCTTCCCGGCCTACCAACTCCAAGGCATTCTGCACGGGGCATTTCTCTCCTGTCCTTCAGGCCCACAGGACTCAGATCTGAACCTGGAGGTAATAGGGAAAGGGTGTGTCCCAGCTGGCAGAAACTAATAACCACCACCACCGCATGGAATCAAGTCAGGCCTGCCAAGTAAGAGCCTGAGGAAATGAAGACTCAAGGCAGAGAGTTTGATAACCCAGGAGGCACAGAAGCAGGGCTCATCTCATCCTGTTCTACCAGACTGCCAGAGACTACAGTCCATCCATGGACAAGGGACTCGAAATTGAATCCAGCCTCCCTGAAGTGTCTCCCCACTGTCTCAGGTCTGCCCTAAGAGCTCTGACCTCATTCCAATCCCCCAGTCAGCCCAGTCCAGACCTAACACCCTATGCCACAGCAGCTCATCTGTTTCAGCAATATGGTGAAGGATCTGCAGGGAATGCAAGGGAAGGAAGAACCACCACCACCACCACCAAGAAACTGAGTGGAAAGTGCCTCGATTTTCCTGAGTCCCACTCCCTAGGCTGCAGGTCAGTGACTGTCACCTTACACAGCAGAACCAGTGCGTCAGCCCCTGAACTTGGTCCAAGCTTGCACAGTGATCTACAAGGAGATCTAGGATGGAACCTGCTCCAGAACCAGTTTGGTGTCTTATCTCTGGATCCTCAGATAGTCAACATCCTGGGCCACTTGCTGAGTGTGTGGACACCATCAGGCAGCTCGCAATGCCAGGGAAGCAGTGGGGCAGACTCAGCTTTGCCCTGCTGAGAACCCTAAGACATGGCTTATAAAATACATATAAACCCAAGAGGGATCCACAGCTGTCCCTCAACCTGACACACACCTGACACCCAGGCCAGGTGTACCACCTTGGGCTGGCCCTCTCCTATCTGTAAAATGAAGGGGCTGGGCTAAAGCGGCCTATGTCTGGTCATAGGTCCCCTGGAGAGCTTGTTAAAAAACACATTCCTAGGTACTCCCTTCAGAAAAACCATGTGGGAGAAACTGGACATCTGCATTTCCTCAAAGCTTCTCAGGGAACCAATAGACAGAATTCACAGCATAAGGGGTGGGTAAGAAGCAGTAGGATTAGACACAATGTGACCCAGAGTCCTCAAGGAGCAGAACAACCAGCTGCCACCCTATGCCCTCTTCAAGACTGGCCCCTTGCCACCCTCAAAACAGCCCAATTCCCCACAGAAGAGCCAGCTCTCAGAGAAACACTGCCTAGGGCACCCCCTCCTGCTTACTCCTAACAGCTATGTCCCAAAGTCAAGCAAGAAGCTGTGGGCCCCTCTAAACTCTAACTCCATCCCTCTGGCTGGCTGGCACCCAGGTTCCAAGGGAGCAGATCGGAACCAGCTGGGCTATGCGTAAGCATCAGTCTGTCTATGCTGGGGACTGGAGGGAGTCCTTAGGTTTTTCCCAGGTTACCACTCCTGTGGAGTGAGAGGTGGGGAGCAGGCCTCACAGCCAGGCAGTGTCCTGCAGGCAGGGCTACAGACAGGGCTTCAAACAGGAGGTCTCTGCAGGGATGGGCTGGGACACAAAAGTCCTGGCCCTCAACTCTGTCCTAGGTAGCTTAGAGAGAGAGAAGGTGGCTGGCTGGGAACAAGGGAACTGGAGAAAGAGACCCTCTAGCCTCTGGGGCTGGATTAAAGGAGCACTGGGGGCGGGGTTGCTGGTGTGGGGGAGCAGGCGGGGGAAGGGAACCCAGCTCAGGCACAGGCATTTCAAAAATTTGCTCCTTTTCCACTTAAACTCCCTCCCCCCAGCCCGTGCCTCCCAGAATGGCATTTCCGCTTTGGAATCAAAGCCCTAGGATCTGTGCCCCACTGCACTGGAAGGAGGGGAAGAGAAATGCCCTTTCCCAGGCCTGTGGGGGATGGGCATGGAGGACAGGACCCACAGGGCAGGCTAGGGTTAGGGTGTATGGTGTATGGGGGAGCAGACCCTCCTGGGCTGACTGCCAAGGAGCTCAACAGTGACACAGCCCCCAGGACAGCCTCCGTGGGGCCCTGGGCCAAGGCTCCACAATCACATGCTCATTTCATGCCCACAGCAATTCTGCAAAACAGGCTTCACAATTAGCCCCATTTTCCAGATGAAGAGGTTAAAACCCAGTTTACGGCCCCTTTGCCCCATCCTACAGACTCCCAGCCACAGAGCAGATAGACTAGTAGCCAGGGAAGGATGGAGGGGCTGTATCACCTTCAGGACAGGCAGAAAAGGAATTAAGGGGCAGGGACACTCAGACTCAGAAAGCCAAGGACCCTGTGGCACTCAGAGACTCCAAAGGACAGGCAGCTGAGAACTGGGGCCCAGCACTACCCCCACACACTGAGGTTCAATAGGAAGGAGTGGTCACTCTGATGAGGAGTGTGGGAAAGTGTGGGTGGAGATGCAGGAGCACTGCACTCTCCCAGGCGGTTGTCAGTCACCCCAGGAGCAGCCTGGCACCCCCAGACAGGATGAGGATAAATTCAGGCTGGAGGGGAATAACACCAACCCCTCCCATTGGGGCCTGGAGTAGAGCTAGCTGTACAGGAAACATGGTGGGCCCAGTACATGGGGACACTGGTTCACATATGTCCATTAAAGTGTCCACTGGGGTGAGGGCTACTGCTGATCCCAGACCCTAAACGGGAAGAAGAGCTTGGGACCCAGCTCCCACTCTCTGGCCTTTCTGGGTCTAATTCTTCAGGTCAGACCCTCTGCACAATGAACAATTCTTGCTTCAGGCCCAACAATATCTGCTGTAGCTGTAAACAAAGGGATTGGGGCATAACCTAAATGACCAACTACGGGGGACTGGTGAGGCAATCACAGCCTCTCAATGGAATATTGTGCAGCTATTAGGATAGCCACTTTCAAAGACCAAAATCATGCAAGACAATGCTTATGACAATGGGAAGTGAAAAGAGCAGGCTCAAATGGCTTGCACAATGACTGCAGGCAGCCCTTCCCCTCCTAAAGGCCTTGGTGTTCCTAGCAGCACAGGAGGGTGGCTGGAAGGATCAGCGGATGGCCAGCTCTGGGAGCAACAGCAGGAAAGGATTTCCTGAGACCGGAGGTGAGTGCTGCCAGCCCCGGGGACAGGAAGAAATGATGCATCTGGAGGGCCACGCACGGGGTGTTAAAGCCTTCTCCTTGGACTGGCCACTCACCTTGGCAAGCTCAAAACCAGCCTTCAAGCAGGAGCTGGGGGTGCCAGGACCCCTGTTGATGGCCTGGAGAAGAGATGAGCCCAACTACATCAAGAACCGCTGTCTAGCCCTGGCCAATTTGGCTCAGCGGTTGGAGCGTTGGCCTGCGGTACAGAGAGATGCGGGTTGGTTCCCGCTAAGGGCACGTACCTCGGTTGCAGTTTGTCCCCGGCCCTGGTTGGTAGTGTGGGTGGCAGCCACTCGATGTGTCCCTTCACATCGATGTTTCTCTCTCTCTCTCTCTCCCTCTCTCTCCCTCCCACTCTATCTGAACAAAAAATGGAAAAATGTCCTCGAGTGAGGATTAAAAAAAAAGAACATAGGCTGGAGTCGGTCCTCGCTGCCACCTTGGGCACCAAGACATAACTACTGCTACCCAGAGGTTCAGAGAGGGGCAGGGCCTTGTCCAGGTCACAATGCCAGGAAGTGGCAGAGCTACACCCATAACCCAGCTACCCAGGTGTGTCCCCATGGAAAAGCACCCAGGTGACCCCAGGCAGAGCAGAGCATGCTCTCTTAGGGCAGGTGTTAGAGCTGCCAGCCATAAAGAGCTTTCCTATACTCCCCTGCTCCTCGAGGGTGGAGTGACCAATGGGACAGTTCATTTGTCATTACAGCAGTGACTCTGTGGGGAGGTGGGCGGGCCCCACAGCCTGGAGCCAAACCCCTCCCCAATTACCTCCTCCTGGGGCATCTGGGCTCTAGTCCTCAGCCTGCCATTCCCTTCTGCACCCTCCCAGGCCAGGGGCAGAGCCAGGAGGAAAGGTGTGGGGGCAGAGCGACCAGGTGCAGGGACATAGCCAGGGGGGTGGACCTGGGTTTGGGCAGAGGGCAGACTGGCCTCCCAGATCCAGGCCTGGATCCCAGCAAATCCAGTGCCCTCACTTTCCTGTATTTCCTTCCCTCCACACTGACTCTTTCAAGGAACTGGAAGGAGCAGCATTCTCTGCTAATTCTTTTAATTGCTTTTCTAATTTGAAAATTAAAGAGCAGCAGAGGCACCTGTAGGGAGGTGCCTGCTTCAGAAAGGGGCTCTGCTCACAGCAGGCCCAAGGCTAGAGTGAAGTGGGCTGGCTGGGCCCTGGGCACTTCCCAGGGGCTCTTCACCCAACTCAGCGTGCTGGCCCTGGTATCCTCAGTCCCCCTTTTTCTTCTGCGCCCCCTCTTCCACTGTCCAGGCGGGGGACCTTCCTGGGTGCTATCAGGTAGGCAGGAGCCCCAAGTGTGTAATGAGAAGGTTGGGGCCTGGGTGCACTTGCCCACCCTCTGGCACTAAACACCACTCCTAGTGTCCTCCACCTGCACTCTCACACTCTCAACACTGCCTGGAGGAAGAA